AGAATTTCCTTTCTATAACTACATTTTATGATATCTTCAGGTTGTCTAGTTCAGCCAAGTGGCCGTGTTCTGAAAGGAAGGAGGTGAGCTGCTCCAGTGGCACCTACGTGGTGAGGGGGCTAGACACACGTGACTGGGGAATTGTGACTTGGTGATGATGATGATGATGATGATGGTATTAATAATAAGAGGAGTGATGGCAAATGCACAACAATTACTATGTGGGAGGAATTGTTCTAAGCATTTTATGTAAATTACCTCCTTTTATTCTCATAATGAGCAAGTGAGGGAGACCCTATATTTTTTCAACTTCATGAGGATATTATTGACATGCAACATCTGTAAATTTAAAGTATACAGTGTGCTGATTTTATATACATGTATATGGTGACTGGTTACTATCATAGGGTTAGTTATCTCCATCACCTCACAGAATTACCATTTCATTTTGTGTGTGTGTGAGAGCTGACATAACATTTAAGACCCACTTTCATAACAACCCTCAAGTATTTAACACAGTATTCATGATTACAGTTGCTGTGCTAGGCACTGGCTCCCCAGGGAGGCACTGTTTTTAGGCCCACTTTACAGGTGAGGAAACTGAGGTATAGAGGCTAAAGGTTCAATAATTGCCCAAAAGGTAAAACCTGGAGCAGAAATCTGGAGAAAAGTGATTTCTTGTAGATATTCAAGATAGTGTGTTAAGCTGTTTTATTGGGATAGTCACATCAAGTGTGATCCTGGAAGGTCACAACTTCAGCACTTGTGACAAACTTTTCCACTTCTCTGTATTTCCATAGCCTGGCCCTGGCCACACCCAGTAGACTGGGTAACCTCTGAGACAGGGTCTCTCAGGACTATGATGTTTAAATTCCTGGTCTAGTGCCAGCTTCTTGCATCTGGAAGGGAGGAGGGAGCTGGGCCTTTTCAGGAGGGGGCTCTCCTGCTCACACACTTAGGACAAAGACACTGCAACTTGTCCCAGTTTTCAGGGCAAGCTGGACAATGGGATTAAAGTGTTCCCGAGCTGGCTGGGTCCTGCATTTCGAGATTTCCTCTGCGAGGCCTGACATCAGAGCTTTGGAGCTGGGATCCTCCGGCAGGTGGAACAGCATCTCCCCACATAACCCTTCTCCCGACTCTGACTCCTGAGAACCACATGGACTCAGGACCTTCTTGAGGACAGTCACTCCTAAGGTGGCTGTTTCTGTGGCTTGCCCGAACCCACCTTTAGAGACAGAATCCAGAACTTCCTCTGGTATTTCAGAAAATTTCAGCTACCCTGATTTTTTTTTTTCCCAGAGAAAATATCAAAATAAGAGCATAAACTGTACATTATTCAAAATATTTCACCTTAACTTGCAAGTAAGTTTCTTATTGCTATCTCTTCTCCTTACTTCAAGTTTTCTGTTATGTTCTTTGTAAGAAGACAGTGGAATCGTTCATATGGTTCTTTGTAATGATCCTAAGTTCTTTCTTCTTAGTTTTAGTCAAAGTTTTCATAAAGGCATCCCATTTTTGGTACTAGGATTTGAATTGAGAAAAAAAAAAGACACAAAATGGTAACAATCAACAACTTGCATCCCCCCACCCCCAGAGCGTTATAGCGTCTATGACCTGTTCACTTGTTTTCTCACCTGATCTCAACAATGGACACCAGGAGGTAAGGTGTGTATGGCTGTCCTATTTTAAGGAATCAAGAAATGAGGCTCACACTGGTTGAATGGAGGAGCTAAGACCTCCATGGTTTGATGGTTATTTTAGGATCTCAAGAACCTGCCATCAGACCCAGACTTTGAAAACCCCAGTCAAGTATAGGGAATCCTTGACCCCTTTGGAATTGTGATAAACTTCCTCTGCTTACTTTTTTCACCTGTCCTCTGCCAGCTCCTTTTATTTCAGCAACAGGCAAGGAGACAGGTAATGCTCACGCCTAACGAGACTCAGCTCCTTTTGAATCTAAAGTATTTTTTCAGCCATCTAATATTTTGTGAGGATCAGAGATTTATATGGCAGCTGCACAGCAGAATCTAAGACTCTGTAGCTATCTGTAAAGAAATTCTTCCAGATTTTTTTCTTGGATTTTATTTTTGTATATGAGTCTCACAATGGCTGGGAGTGGGAAGCATCAGCATTGGTCAGTGTGTTGAAATTGATGAGCCTGTCAGCAATCATTTAGATGCCTGGGGTTGGAACTCAGGTGTGTAGAAAGGCATGCAGAATTTGAGCTAAAGAAACTCCAGACTCAGGAGAGCTGGAGAAAGTCTTGGAGTCGGGAGCTGGATAGGGAAGCCTTAGGGGCGCTCAGACTGGGGTCATGAAGTAGCAGGTACAAGGGACCCCCGTGAGAGCAGAGCATACCGGTGGAGTGAGGAGGCTGCAATGCATGGTGCTAGGTGAACTTAGTTTAGCTTTGGAGAGTAGACCAGGGTGTTTCCTACTCTTTCATCCAGGTTGGGGTAGGACTCAACATGCTCATGGAATCCTAGGGCAGATATCTGTCCATGTGCAAATGAATACCTGTGTATTACCTGTTGACTGACTGACTGGATGACCAGAGGATCCAGGCCTCCCACATCTTAACTCTATGGATATTTGCATCTGACTCGGTTTTATTATAGGAAGTGTTATTTGCTAACCCATGCAGTTATGGCACTCCATTAGTGTGAAAGTGCACCAGAGAGTGATCATCAGGATAGTAGAGTGTGCTCACTGAGTGCGCTCCTCTGCAGGTTTATGCAGCGTATATTCTTCCTCCTTGAAGCAAAAATATTCATTGGCTCTCTCACATCTGTTAGATGCCAGAGTCCTTTCTATAATAAAGCTTGAGGGGACCTGCGTGTGGGAACCTGTGCTTCTCCATCCTGGTTCTTTAAAAGAGGTCAGGGTCAGGACACTTTGCTCTTTGGAGTTTATTAAATTTCTCAGTGTAATCAGTCCATCTCTGGGTCCTGGGCCTCAGCTGTAGATGTTCAGATTTAATGATATTTTGGTTCCTAAATCTCTTCTTTATCCAGAGTGAGAATGGGCCCTTTTTGCTGGAGTCAATCTCATTGTTAGTTCCAACCAGCCACAACGGCCCACTTAGTACTTCAGGATCTTTCCTTTCAAGCCCTGATTTATTGTCACATGTTTCAACCGAACCCAGATGGGGCCACGACTGGTCTTGGGGAGTAAGCATTAGCATGCTAGCGATCTATTCTGGACACCATCTTTTTATGATTTTTGGGGTGGTTTTTGAATGAAATAAAGCATGTAAAGGGTTTAATGCAGAGTCTGAACTAGATTCAACACCAGTACATGTCTGTTTTCAGGTTCTATTTAAAAGTCTACGTGTGTCTGTTCATTGTTCTCTAACTTCTCTCCAGAAGCTCATGGTGGTGGGCAATGCCTCTCTTCACTCTCCTAAGACTGGGACAACTTCTTTACAGTTTCTCATTGCAGTGTTCTCTCCCTTCAGGAACTTTCTTTAACCCTATATAGGCATTAATACAAGCATTATTCAACACAGGGGAGACTAGATGATGCAGAAGGAATGACCAGATGACTTATTAAGACTCCTATTGGTTCTATCATTCTACCATGTTAGAACGTAATAAAAATTCTCCAACGAAGCCGTCACCCTCTTTAGATCCAGGTATTGTAACTTGCCTATATTTCTCAGCTTTAGTTTTTTTTTTTTATTTGTTCAACAAATACTCATGAGTACTGCCCTGGGTCTGGTGAGGTGAATGTTGAACGCACAACAATTCCTGCTTTCAGGATGGTCAAGTGCAGGTGGGTTGGATGGAAGAAGACAAGTATGAAATAAATGAAAGAGTGAGAATGGGGATGGTGATCCGGGTCCTGCAGGAACACAGGGGGTCCTTATAGTGTAGCTTTGGATGGGGAAGAGATCCTCTTCCTTGTGGAGGTGATCTCTGAGCCTCATTTTGAAAGATGCATAAGAGAAGTCTGTAGAGTGGGGAAGAGGGGCGTGTCAGGCTGGGGGGATGCAGTGAGGTATGAATGAGAACTCTTTAACCTGGGAGTTTAATGTAATTTAATATGGCCAAGGCACAAGGGAGTAGACAGAGATGGATCTGAAGGGACAGCATGGGTGGTTCAGTAAGGTCCAGGGACTTAATAAGCCTCAAATACTTAGATCTGATCTTGAGTGTCAAGAGGAGCCTTTGGAGGATTTTTAACTGGGTAGTGACATGATTGAATTTGACAAGCACCACCATGGCTGCAGTAAGGGAACAGCTATGATGCTTCTGGAGCAACTCTGGGCATATTTTGTTAACTGACCTAATCTAATGCTGAAAACCATGCCTGAGAAATGACAGGCGGTTTAAAGTGATTTTGGGATATATAAATGAGCAGATGGATGGAAGCATGAATGAATGAATGTTGAGGAGCAAGGTTTGATAAGATGGGGTGACTCATCTTGGAATTGTGAAATGTCTGGTAAAGAGGGATGCCAAGGATGAATACTTGTCTTGGTGTATAGTAGAGGAATTGAAGGGAGAAGGGCGAGCTGAGAAGGGGAGCAGAGGAATTCAGTTTTTGACAGGGTGTACATGTGCACTGAGAAGTGCAGTTGTGAATTGGAAATGTGGCTCTAAAAAGAACTTGGAAGTATTTAGGGAAGTCATTTTCCCCTAACTGACTATATCTGATAAACTAAAATTGATTACATGTATAAGTACAATTTTAATTACAAATGACTTCACCCTGAATAAAAGTCTTCATTCTGATTGATTGAAATGTAAAAGATGTGGTATTTTGAGAGTTGCTTTTGTCTATTATTTAACTTTGTATTTTGTCAACATCATTACTTAGAAATGCAGAAAATCATGTGCATGATAAAAAAGTTTTTGTTTTAGGATTCACTATTTGGGTTAACTTTGTTCTGCAAATGCTGATTGCCCCCAGTTTTTAAAAATTCTTGCAAGAGGGAATAACTGACTTCTTGGTAAATCTCTTACCACCCAAGCTCTTGCTGCAGCTCAGGATTCATGGAAAGTCCACGAAACATCACAGAATTTTTCATGCTGGGACTCTCACAAAACCCTGAGGTGCAAAGAGTTTTATTTGTGATCTTTTTGATTGTCTACCTGGTTTCTATTGGGGGCAACTTGCTTATCATGATCACCATTATCTTCAGCCCCACCTTGGGTTCCCCAATGTACTTTTTCCTCTCATATTTGTCTTTCATTGATACTTGTTATTCCTCATGCATGACTCCTAAACTCATTGCCGACTCCTTGTATGAGGGGAGAGCCATCTCTTTTGAGAACTGCCTGGCTCAATTCTTTGTTGCCCATTTATTGGGAGGAACTGAGATCATCCTGCTGACAGTCATGGCCTACGACCGCTACGTGGCCATCTGCAAACCCCTGCACTACACCACCATCATGACCAGGCAACTCTGTGGCCTGCTGGTGGGGGTAGCTTGGCTGGGGGGCTTCCTGCACTCAGTCGTTCAGCTCTTCCTGGTCCTTCAGTTGCCTTTCTGTGGGCCCAATGTGATCAATCACTTTGTCTGTGACTTGTACCCCTTGCTGGAACTCGCCTGCACCGACACCTTTACCATCGGTCTGCTGGTGGTGGCCAACAGTGGTGTGATCTGCATGTTGAGTTTCCTGATGTTGGCTGCCTCCTACGTCATCATCCTGCGCTCCTTGAGGTCCCACAGTGCAGAAGGGAGACGCAAAGCCCTCTCCACCTGTGGGGCCCACTTCACTGTGGTTGCCTTGTTCTTTGTACCCTGTATATTTATTTACATGCGGCCATCATCTACTTTGTCTATGGACAAAATAGTGGCTGTGTTTTATTGTATTTTGACACCCATGTTCAACCCCCTGATTTATACCCTGAGAAATGCAGAAGTGAAAAATGCTATGAAGAATCTATTGAAGAAATGAGTCATTGCAGACAGGAGGACACAAGACACCAGTTAAAAGAGAAATAACCTCATGTAAATTTTCGGCAAGTGTTCAAATCACAATGAGAGCAAGAGAGCATAAAAATTTGGAATAACGCTTGAAATTATGTCTCATCTGTCAACATCCTATGTCACTGATGGCGAATGATTCGGTCACTTCAATTTCTTAGTAGTTTACACTGAGTTGCAAAGAGTGGCAGCACAATGGCCATCTCCACCATCTCCCTCACCTCTGTTGGAGAGGGTGTCTTGATGCACCTGGGGTGCCAAGCGTCTTTGAGGAGCAGAATCCCTTTGCTGAACTATTACTCACCTGGTCCTTCAACTCTGCATCTGAGAATGTGGATCAGAGTAGTTATTGATGGTTCACCTCCACTTGATTTCTGTCTACAATAATATCAGAAAACATTCATAGTTTGGGACATTGCAAATATACAATTAGTACTGAATGGACTCAAATCATGGGAGGTAGAGGAAAGGCATACTAAAATTGACATTAGCATAATTATATGTAATAAAGTATAATGTGTTATGAAATTCTGAACGATGAGTCTTACCCTTGTTTACTTGTGACTTCCAACACATGCACAAAACACTTTTTCACATGCACACACACAGACACGCAGGCAAGTTTATTGGGGGAGGCATTATATTAATCACTCTATAAAGAGATCTCACATTGTTTTCATGCAAAGTTGATTTGGTTTTCTTTTAAAAATTAAGACTCACTGAGGTTGAGTTATCTAGTCAAGGTTGAGCTGGAATTTAGGTATAGCCTTTTTGCTTTCCAGGAAATACTGTATTTTATTTTATTCTGGCCATGTTTTCTGTTCCTGCAATGTTATCAGTGTCCTTATTATCTATCATTGATAGGCCCTTGCCCAGAGTTTATTTCAAGTCCAGAGTGATTCTCAGGTATGTCAACAAGAAGGCCTCAATTCTCTCTAACCTTTGGTAAAATTATTGTTCCTTGTTTCTTGTTGCCATGAAATGGCTTTGCTTCTGTTTGTATATCTTACTGTATAGCTTATTATAACATGAAATTTTGGAGTTCTTGCTATCTCTGCTTGCTGGCTGCATTTTGTTGCTGCCAAGGCAGTCAAAGGAATTTTTGAAAATGTTTCTTGGGTAGAAAGAGGAATATGGATGTAAGGAAAAATCTCATTAGAGGTAATAACTTTTTTTGTACAATACTGTTAGGTATTTTTTCCTGATTTAAGTAGTTAGATATTTTTTCCTGATTTAAGTACTGTTCCATATCAAAAGCCAGAAAAGTACATGTTCCCCCACAAATGTCTCATGGTGTAGTATTGTGCAAGAAACCAGGACTGGGGTAGAGACAATAAATAGATAAAAAAATTACACCTCTCAATCTACTAGTGTTAGAAGATAATGGGAGCTGAGCTGGCCCCTCCTTCACTATTTCCCATAAACACAATCTGAGACTTAGGCTAAGGAGCAGAGGTGATGGGCTTCAGTCCACAGCAAAGAGCAAAGAGCTAGTGTGCAGCTAAGCAAGGCGACACTTCTTCTAACTATACAAATAGGAAATTCTTGTGAGTCCCTCCTGTATTTTAGCTGCAGAAGGCAGAGTGCTAAATCCTCTAGAACGATAAAATTACCTTTTGGATAAAAAGGAAGGAACACATAAAAGAAAATATTTCACCACGAATAAAACTGTTTCAAAACTGAAGTTATTAGACAAAAAGAAAAAGAAAGCTAGATTTAACTCAATGTCTCTGTTCTCAGGTGAAATGTGCTCATACTGAGTGGTACATTTTTGCCCAGCTAGTTATATGTCTACTATAAAATATAAACCCTCAGTAATGTACCCTTTCAAGATTTCTGACTACACTCATTGTGCATTTTTTTCTTTTTCTTTTTTCATTGTGCATTTTTTTTCTTTAAAAGTTTTTTTAAAGTATATTCATTACATCATCCTTCATTTTTGTATTACTATGTAGAACTAATTTCTCCTCAGATCTGTTGTTTTTTCAATCCTAAAACAGAATAGATTTAAGTACTAGATAGAGAGTACAAGATCCTGAGCAAACCACTTTTCAGATGTGAAAACCTCCAGATTATGTGTCTTACACACGATGCTACTTAATATAAATTTTGCGATTTGTTTAAAAAAATTTCCTCAGAAAAATAAGCACCATGGACAGGGTCAACTTAGTCCATGCGATGATGGAAGGTGCTGAAATCAGTAGAAATTTGGCAGAAACAATTCAGCAATAAAACCCTTGGGGTAAACACCCTTTGGGTGGTGTGTGCTAGAACTGGACACCACTGTGATGATCAGAGAGCTGACCCACATGGCGTGGCCAACCTCTCCTGTCTCCCCACTGCTTCCCTCAGCAGTGGATTTCAGTAAATCTGTCTGTTTTGTTCCACACTCTGTCTCTGGTGAATCCTCTAACCCCCACACCTCTGGCCTACACCCCAGTTCTTGTGTGCATAATTAAATTAAAAAGTATTAAAAACATGTTTATTAACAAATATAGTGGGATTTCTGGAAAATGTTGACAGGCCATTTGAAGTTGGTGCTGTAAATTTATAGCAAACTAAATGTCTCTATTTTGTGAATTTTTCTAGGAGCTCTCGGGGAGCAAATTTAGAGGAGAGATAGAATAGAATTCATTCAATATGGAAGAATTTATGTACACACATACTGAACAGGGAACCGTGTTGAAAATATAAATGGCTATAAACTTTAGAGCAAAGCTTGCTGCATATATTAATTTTTAACACGTATATGGCTGTCAGTATTTATCAACAGTAAAAAATGTAGATGTCTAATTAAAAAAAATATGTCAAGTTAGCCGTTACCAGTGGAAGGGGGATGGTGAGTGAGGCAATCTATTTAAAAAGTGTCAGTTGGACTTGGATAGGACTGGACTTTCAATGGAAACATTTTTGTTACATTTGCAGATGTTGGATTATAATGCTGCATACCTAAAACTTAAATAATCCAATAAAAATCATAAAAATATGTGACATGAACCCAACAATTCCATACACTTTGTGACATTTTGATAGTCTAGTTAATAATTGCTAGGTATACTGAGACCTTATATTCTAAACCTATTAGTTTCTGTGGTTAGATAATAAAGTGTAATTGAGCCAATTTTCTAATCCACTAAAAATATGAAATTAAGTGAGGCTCACTAGGAAGTAGCTTGTTTTTGGCATTTTGCCACAATTTTATCTCAAGAGACACTCTAGAAAAGTATACTGACTTTAGTTGCAATTTGAAAAGCACCTTTAATTTTACTAGCTAAAATATCAAAAAGGGCATACGGACTGACCCAAGTACCTCCTTTGCATTTTGTTCTTTATATCACGACTAGCGGTGACCCAACTAGTTTATGAGTGTTTATTTTAACCTTTCAGAATAGACATGGGAGTGAATATCTTCAGACATTTTCTGTGTAATTTAAAAATTGTTACTAATGTTGTTTACAAAGGTAATAGGATCTCCTTTGGAGACTGTGTAAAATATCTCTAAAATATGAATGCTGCTTATTTTGGAAGCATTTCAACCTGTTAGGATACAGGAGTAACTTTCATGAAAAAATTTCTATATGATTTAAAAATTATGGCTAATCTTGCTTACAAAGGTAGTAAGTATCCAATTTAGGGACTATGTAAAGCATCTTCCCTTAAAGTGCAGAATATAGGAAGAAAAGATGAGCTGTGTGTGTGTGTGTGTGTGTGTGTGTAAAATCTACAAGCCTGTTATAGTGTTTATCAAAGTGAACATTTGGGTTCTTTCTCCTCATGGTCTTTTACTCCTCCATCTCATTTAACTTCTCCTGTATCAACTTAATTAAAACTCTTCCACCTTCAGCTATTCTCTGGAGCTGAATGATTAATTTGTTCTGCTTACAAGGCATTTTAGGCAAAATAAAATTTTCTCATGCTTGGCTTCCTTGTCTAAGATGGGCATCTTCATCCTTAGCTTATGAGTGGAGAATGTGCATGAAGAGTAGAACATCGACAGGTTCATAGGCATCTACTGAGAGTCAGTTCCCTTTCCTGCCAGTTGGACATAGAATAAAAAAGGCTAAAAATAACATGAGTCTCTGTTTTACATTAGGTTGAGAATAATATACTTGTGGATTAAAAGAGAAAACCTGTGTTTGAGGTTTTTATTTCATACTCATGTGGCTACTGGCAAGAATTGTTTTTCATCTCGCTTAGATCTATCTCCCAAGTGAAATTTAACTTTTTTCAATGGCCAATAGCAGGATAAACACATATTAATGTTATAACATTTACTAAGTGATAAATAAAGGCATTTTGAACATAGTAAAGAGACCCAAATGCTGCTTCATTATTTACATTAGCATTGTTTTATTGAATTTCACATCATTGTACAGGTAAGGTCTTCATTATACTAAAAAATGAAATGTTTTAGACAGAGATAAATTCCATAGCTTGAGGCTTTAAATAATTTAGAGAAAGTTTGTTGCAAAATTTGCTGCCTCACAAACATATAAAATGAATGCCTAGGTCATCACAGAAAATGCATAATAAATGTTAGCTGTCATCAAAATCACCATAACCATCATCACTATCATCCTTTTTTTTTTAAGGATTATTTATTTATTTATTCATATGGAACTGGGGTACAGGCCAGAGATGCGGAGGGTGAGAGGATTCACCAGGGACAGAGCGGTGTATATCTTACTGTATAGCTTATTATAACATGAAATTTTGGAGTTCTTGCTATCTCTGCTTGCTGGCTGCATTTTGTTGCTGCCAAGGCAGTCAAAGGAATTTTTGAAAATGTTTCTTGGGTAGAAAGAGGAATATGGATGTAAGGAAAAATCTCATTAGAGGTA